GGCGTGCTATTTATACACTCTTCCTTGGTTTTGATTGGCTGTCGTTTTCACGTGCTGAATTCACGTGCTGAATTTAAATCTGCCACGCGCTGCGGGGATTGGAGGTGATTTACAGAAACGCGACTTCCTTGTTCTTAATAGCGTTCATTCTTCCGGCATAATAAAGGATAAATGTGCAACAATTAAAACCCTTTGAATTAATTGACCAGTGACTTAGAATAAATCAAGATTCCATTTCCACTAAGTTAAGAGCTTAATTTCTAGGTCAGTTAAAGAAATCATAGATTTTATAGGATCCAAAAAAATGCTCGTGAGAAAAATAATTTCGTTGAAACGTTCCCCTTGGCCGGTGCTTGTTTTATGCAGTCAAGAGGAAGGGAATAGGGCTCCCTTCTGCCCGATTTGGAAATGAAGGGCTATTAAACGGAGCATGTTGACACGGTGCATTTTCACACGGACGTCAGATTTTAGACTAACAACAAAGCTAAACAATCTTGGTGTTTATTTGTATCAGAAAAGAACAGAAAAGGCTGTCGGGGGGCGGGAGGAAGGGTTTAGGCGCTGCCAAACGAGTACAATCCTTTCGGACCTTTGAATCACCAAATTGTTCTCTTGCCAAGGTACTAATATGCTAATATAATCCATATAGAATAAAATAGAATTCTTTATTGGCCAGGTGTTTTTGGACACACAAGGAATTTGTTTTGGTGCAAATACTCTGTGTTCATAAAAGAAAAGATGACCCATATACTAATATAACTATTCCATGTAGTATACCACACTAATATAACTATATTATACAGCTGGTATGTAGTATATAGTATAGTATACATATTGTAGATATACATATATCAAGGGTCTTCAAACTTGGCACGTTTAAGACTTGAGAAATTCAATTCCCAGAATTCCTGAGCTAATAGGACTGGAGGAGGAATTCTGGGAGTTGGTCCACAAGTCTTAAAGCTGTCAAGTTTGAAGACCCTGACATATATAATACTACATACTAGCTACATAATATGCAGTATTAATATACTATATTATCTATCTATCTATCTATCTTTCTATCTATCTATCTATCTATCTAGATAGATAGAAGGACAGACAGACAGACAGACAGATATGTATGTATGCATGTATGTATTAGTACTTCATATTACAGTATATACTCTAACATAGAATACCATATAATATAGAGTGTATTAGTACATGGCATAGTTATGTTGTAGTATACTAATTATGCTAATATAATCAAAGCAAGAAACACATTATAAAGGAAAACCTTCAAGGATGAAAAGGTGATCTTCAGCAACTGATTTCTTTCCACATCTCCGATATCTGAGAAACATCCTAGGGAAAAAAAATAAGTAAACTGGGAAGGAAGCAGGCGCGGCGAGTATTCGCCTTCAATTACGTCATGGGATAATTCACACCCGGGGGTGTGGCTTCTGGCGGGCCCATTCATTTCATGGGGTTGGGTTGGTCATTTTATAGGCCAAAGCGACCCTTTGATCTAAATCAAAGGCCGCCGCGCTTCGTTAACTTTCCAAATACCCAATAATTTATTTTTCTTTAAAAACATTTAGCCTCCCCGTCGGGGAATCGAACCCCGGTCTCCCGCGTGACAGGCGGGGATACTTACCACTATACTAACGAGGAGAACGCTGAAGGAATCCTTTCGCCTACCTTCTTTCAAGACACCGGAAAAGAAATGACTAAACAGAATTATTCATCATCATCGTCATTATTATTATCAAAATATCAGGGAAGAAATGCAACAGGAGGGAAGAAATTTTCACTGTCTTATTTCCCTATCCAAGCATTCACCCATGCATTTCCCATCCAAATACTGAGTTTCCTTCGTCGTTGTGGGTTTGCCTTCAAATAAACAGATTAATTTTTTTCCTTGCCTTGGGGAGAAAGGAAATCTCCAGAGCTAATTAGGCCCTCTGGCCAAAATGCCATGAGATTTGCTGCCTTGCGTAGTGCCAGTAAACAAATCGCTTAAAATTGAGGCATTTTTTTTAAAGATTGGTTTATTATTATTTATTATAAATATGGTTTATTATTTTTCAGGGCACCTCAATAAGAATAATCCTCAAGATTTGAAGCCGTCTTTTATGTAAGTAGCTGGAAAGAAGTCTTTAAAACTAGAGTGAAATTAACTGAAACTTTTTTTTAAGTCACCAGACCTTAAATCTAATTTTTAAGCTGTTATGAAAACTCTGGAGCATTGCAAATTATCTGGGAAAAGAGTTTGGGAAATATTTGTGATCATATACTGTGTGTGTGTGTGTGTGTGTGTGTGTGTGTGTGTGTGTGTATGAATACCATACATATAAAAACCCGCAAAATTAAGAAATATATATATAATATGTTTTCTTAAGTTTTCGCTGGTACTTACATGTATGGTATTCAGCTTTGTTCGGGTATTTTCCCATGTCATTATAGTTGTGCTTTTAAACTTGTAGCAATGTTTCAACAGAATCTCATCTGCCATCATCAGGCTTCTGTATTGTGTTTGCCTTGTGACGGTGGGAAAATACCTAAACAAAGCTGAATACCGTATGTATGTATGTATGTATGTATGTATGTATGTATGTATGTATGCATGCATGGATAGATGGATGGATGGATAGATAGATAGATAGATAGATAGATAGATAGATAGATAGATAGATAGATAGATAAGGAGTGTCCAATTTTTGAAACTTTAAAACTTGTGGCCTTCATCACCCAGAATTCTGTGCTGGCTGGGGAATTCTGGGAGTTGAAGTCCATACAGGTCATCAAATGGCCAAGGTTGGACACACCTGAGGTAAAGCATTCATAGCGTACGAAGTTAGCACCCACCCCTCTCCTAGAAAAATGAAATATCTTAGGAAATATTAAAAAGGCAGAATGTTTCCCCTAAGAAGAGTAGTAACTCAGAAGTTGAAACTCACCTCAGAAGCAGAAGCTCACTCCTACCCTTGTTAATGGGTGGGCCATTAAAGCCAGGGTTAGAATACTTTACATAACAAAGGTCTCCAGGTAAAGCTACAGCAATTGCTCAATAGCCCTTTCAGTGCATCATCATCCAGCAAGGCTCAACCAAGCCTGGAACTCAGGACAGCTTATAGAGTGGCCCCTGCATGGCCCCATGGGAGTCTGACAACCAGTCAGACATACATGCTCCAATTCACATCCCAACAAAGGTTATAAAACCCAGGCACTCTCTGCGCCTCAGCCTTTTCTTCATCTTTTCCTTCATCCTTTTCACTCTGGAGCTCCAGGCCTTGTGGTCCTGTCCACCATTAAACCTTCCAAACAGCCTCCATGATTCCAGTGTCATTTTCCCCCCACTTGGAACTGAACCCAGAAAGAGTTTTCTGTCAACATAATAAAGTAACTAGCTTAATCCCTGTGCTTCACTACAAAACTATGTGGTCGGGCTTAGTTTTGGGGGTGGAAAATAAGGGGGAGGGAATTCTGCTTCTGCCTACCAGCATCCATCAGTATTCATCTGGCTAGCATCCTGACAGTGTGTGAGAGAGGTGAGGGCTGTTTGGAAACCGAAACAGTATTTGCTGTGTGAGCAAGGAAGAAACAGCAAGGAGCCTGGGTGTGGCTTAGCTCAACTGTACTAAAGCTGCTGGGTGCTGTGAAACTAAAATTGAAACTGAAATTCCTCTGCTTGTGTTTTGCATTTGAAACAGATTTCTTTTCAGGTGGGGAGGCGGAGTAGAACTCCTTAGCATCATTAATTTCTGTATAAGAAATACTAATGAGCTGATGGTCATTTCGAAAAATCCTCTCTTAGCAAGAGCACGTAGAAGCCAAGATTGAGCGCCTACGTGCCCAATTTCAAGTTTGTAGGCTCTGGAGATTTTGTAATGATGTGAGTGCTTTTTTTGCTTTTATATATAGAGATAAAGGCAGGATAAAAATCTAATAAACCGATAAAATATAACAGAGTTGCATTATTGATAGTAAGCCACCCTGTGCAGAAATGCACAATTTAGATCATTTTATCCAAGAATTCATGAAAGCATCATCTCTTCCTGAGGAATGCATTGGCCGGGAGTGCTGGGTGCAAGCCTGTGGAAAGGAGAGAGAGAGAAACCTTGGAAGCTACTATCCAAGATTATAAAACTATCCCCATCATTATTGAGAATAGAATGGGAACCTGACTTAATTCCAGATCCCTAATCTGGTGCAATCGTGCAGCTAAGGCGATTTCCAGGTCGCTCCGCCTACGTAGAGCAAGGTTGCAAAAGCAGAAAGATCACAAATACAACAATTCGGGCTTTATTTATCTGGAGATGCCTCCCACACACTTCCTGTCCCCCTGTGGATGATTTAGCTGGAAGTCCCACGCTCTTTAGTTTGGCCAAGGGGCAAAAACTAAACTGTCTTATCGGTGCAGGGGGGACTAGGAGATATTATCCTGCATTTCCAAGCCTGGGGCTCTTTGGCGGTGATAAAAGCAAAAAAAACAAAAACAAAACGACTGGAGATGCCGGGGATCGAACCCGGGGCCTCATACATGCAAAGCATGCGCTCTACCACTGAGCTACATCCCCTCTCCGTCGCAACGTTTTCGAATAGGCGTAGAAAAGGCGCAGATTCCAGAGGACAAAAATGAAACGCCTGATAAATTATATACGTCCAAGTATCTCATCCTAGAACGTATCCATTAGAAGGGATCTATCGTCCAGTCCTGCTCAAGAACTTCATATACCAATCGGGACCAATCAAGAGACCTACTGGAACAATCTAAGATAAACTACAACGGAAAGCAGAACCGTACATCGACTTGGCTTTCTTTCGTCTTTTAGTTTCATTCAATCCCTTTGGAAACTAGCGGAGAACCTTTTATCAACCCTCACGAAAGATTTTTATAATTGCAACGTCCCGTCTTTGCATAGGACGGACGCAGCTCTTTTCTGGAAAACTGGAGCGGCCCTGAAAAGGACCTTTTCTGCATCTCTTCCGTTCGCCGTCCTGATCCGATCTCCAGATTAGCCGCCGAAGCCGTATAGAGTCCGGCCTTGGCGCTTCAGGGCGTAGACCACATCCATGGCCGTGACCGTCTTCCTCTTGGCGTGCTCGGTGTAGGTCACCGCGTCGCGGATCACATTCTCCAGGAAGACTTTCAGAACACCCCGAGTTTCTTCGTAGATGAGTCCCGAAATCCGCTTGACGCCCCCGCGCCGAGCCAGCCGGCGAATGGCAGGCTTGGTGATGCCCTGGATATTATCCCGAAGGACTTTCCTGTGTCTCTTGGCGCCACCTTTGCCCAAGCCTTTCCCGCCTTTGCCTCGACCAGACATCCTTTCCAAACAGGAAACAACCCAACTGTCAAAGCTGACTGGGAAATGAACTGATATAACACCGGATCGGACCAGAGGGAAAACTAAACCGGCAGCTTTTCCCCGCCTTTTTCAGGTTGCCCGTAAAGATAGCTTCACAAACAATCGAAATGCCTTTAAAAGAAGCGAAGGGCATGATGGTTCAAGAATTAGACACCCCAGCGTTTCTAATCAGTATATTCTTTATTGGGAAATTAGGATCATTTGTCCAAAATATATGTCTGCATCAAAATCAAAGGACCGGCATCATAATTAATAAATAAAAAGCATTTACAATTTGTATCCTTTAATGTCACTGAAAATTTCATAAAGAAGGGAATATTCCCTGGAGTTCAGCTCTTAAGTGATTTCTTGGCCAATGCAAAAACAATTTGTCATTGATTTCTGAGATGTTTTTACAATTTAGCCTGAAAGCCTGCATTTCCTTGTATATCCCTGTAATAAGCAAGTCTGATTGCTTAGCTTTTTAAACTCATATTGTTGCCTCAAAACTCAGGTGCCCTATATTTGGCATGGAACTGATAATAACTTGATCCCTGAATTTGAGAAAGACACTTTTTAACCTTCCCAAAGGGATTTTGGGTTGTTGTTCTTTTGGCTTTCGTGGAAATACAACCCACCAAGTAATTAAGGCAAAGCAAAAAGCATTTATTAAAGGGAGTCAAGTCTTTATGGGGGACAAAAATAAATGATACATACATTTGTGTATGTTATGTGTCAGAAAGCAAGCGATTAATCAATAAGACACTGATTGCATGTAAGTCTTGAGCTAATAGAGAACATGGGTTCTAGGTAACATTCCACAAGTGGCAAATATAGGGTTTCATTATTCTTTCCCAGCCAGATTTGAATCTTCCTTAAAATTTGCAAGGATATTTGAAGATTTTAAGAATAGGCTCTGTATTGTTTAGTGCTGTGTTGGAAGAATTATCCTTCTGGGTTCAGTTCCAATTCTGCCTTTTAAATATTTCCTAGGCTATTTCATTTTTCTAGGTGAGGGGTGGGTGCTAACTTCCTAAAGCTGAAAAAGAGAAGTTTTCACATACCAAAAGAAATGGCCTTGATTAAGAAGAAAAATGCATATTTACCTCAAGATAGAAAAGAGGCTTAGGCTTTGGCATTAAAAATGTTAATAACACTTTTAAAAATGCTAATAACACTATTTAAAGTGCTAAAATTCCAGGTAACAATATACTGTGATGAAATGTTACAAATAAGTCTGGATTTACACTATTTTCTTAGCAAGGTGAGCCAACTGTACTGTATTTATCTCACTCACCACTTTCAGGAAGTTTGTTCAACCAAGCTACACTTGTTTCTAATATTTTTATATACAGTATACTAAGCTATCAGCCAGAGTTGCCTTAGATAGTATAGTACTATGGGTAGCATAGAAATTTAATAAATAAAATGAACTAGCCTAGTATTGTCAGAAGAATAATTTGGGGGCTCAGACTGGAACCGGAGTTGCACAAGAAAAAAAAAAGATCCAGACAGCTGTGAAGAAAATAAATTTTGCTTCCTTTATAGACAGGCTGCAGAGAAATGGGGTGCAGTGGCAAACTTTTATAGGAGAAACTTGTCCAGAATGTGGACATGTCTACCTGCTGAGTCTTGTGTTGTATGTGTGTTGAACATATAGTTCTACTGGGACATTTAATTTAATTGTGTTTGCAGACCTTATCTTTTGATATGTGGATTAGGTTTGGGTAACTTATTTTAGGGTTTGAGGAAGTTTGCTAATTTGATTAACTTGGAGAGACTGATTCTCAGACTATTCTCTCACAGTTCTTTTAACATTTTAAGAGAAGATGGAAATAGTATAGATGGATATAAAACTTCTCTTAGTATGGACATCCTAGACCAGTGTTTTTCAATTTTGGTAAATTTAAGATGTGTGGACTTCAACTCCCATAATTCCCCATGTTGAACTTGAAGTCCAACCATCTTAAAATTGCCAAGTTGGGAAAACACTCCTAGATTCTAGAATAGTGTACAGCGAAACTGTAGAAATACCCTTTCTAGAGTATTTCTAGAAAGTAAACCCAGTTTTCAGCTGCAGAGATATCAGCATTTAAATCAAATGTTTGCCTATTTGAAGGATTCAAATGCTCATTCTTAACCATAATTTTTACTATCACACCTCATATTGCTATAGTGTTTTTAAAATTATACTAATGTTCTTCACAGAAGAGGCTTTAACAGGATTCAGTGTGCTGCAAACTCTAAACTTGCACCTTGACATTTTCATGCAACATGCTTTTTGAAATGGTGCAAAAATAGAAATATGCAAATTTTCACAATGCGCTGAAGAATGGATGGAAAAAACTTGATGGGATTTAGGAGATGGCCAAATTGGCCACTAATAAAGTTGCAAGATAATGTTTTTCCTTTTGTGCCCCTTACACACTTCTTTCCTCTCCCTTCCCCCATTATCTGTATATTATGGTTGTCCCAAAGGTGCTTTTTCAGGAGGCAACTGGACATTTGTGCTTTCTTTAAGGCATTTCACTTCTCATCCAAGAAGCTTCAGCTGACAAGACAGTGGGGGAATAGAAGGATATCTATCAGAGCCGAAAAAACTTCTTGGATGAGAAGTAAAATTTCTTGTGATTGTAGGACTGCAACTTTGTCGCTTGTATCCTTACTATTTATATTGAGTGTTTCCTAGTATGATTGTTGATTGTACCCTATGACTATCATTAAGTGTTGCATGTTATGATTCTTTATTCTTAAAAAATGTATTTCTTTATGTATACTGAGAGTATTTACACTAATCACCCTTGGCCAATAAAAATACTGTTCTATTCTAAATGCCTTCAACAGAAAAAAAAAACAAAGTCCAGTTCTTTCTAGGGTGACACACATTAATAACAAGTGCTTTAAAAATAGAAGTCTAGAAAAATCAGTGCACAACCCCTGTAAGAATTAGATTTGGAAAGATACAGGCAGGCACAAAAAAAAAACAACGAAACGCATCCCAGCATACTGAGTTTGCAAATTTTACTTTTACAAATCAGAAATCCTTCAACGGGTAGCGGGGAAAGCTTGCAAAGGAAAATAAAACAGTACCGAAGATCGACCTCAGTCTTTTCGAGGAAACAGTGAGCGGCTCTTAAAAGAGCCTTTGGGGTTGCGGATAGTCTTCCCTGCGGTC